CTCAATCACTGCACTATACTGTCCTGGTCCCTGTGCCTGGAATCTTTGTCCTCTGCATTCTTTTCCTAATTACCAGCAACTCAGAACTCCTGCTTTAAATTCTTTAACTCCTGCTTTTAAACGGAAGCCCACAGGCCCTTCCCATTGGACTCAGTGTCCTTCTCTTTGCTTCTGTAGCACCTGTCCATCCCATCATCATATCCCTTTACCTTTTCCTGACAACCTGGACTCTGAGGCACTGGGGAGGATGGACTGTCTCCTATACCTATTTCTACTTTTGGCAAGTAGCATGCTATGTAGAACATAGTAAATGTTCAATAAATGTTAGAAGGAGGGAAAGGGAAGGAAAGAAGAGTGGTAGGGAGAGAGGGGAAGACAGAGGAAGCCAAAAAATGAAAGACAGAAGGGAGGCAAGATGCAAAAGAATTGGGCCATCTTGGACAAGGTGATTCTTTCAAAAAGAGTAGGAGGAGAAATAGCAGTGGCCTTAGAGAAACTGTGACTGTCTTTGTCCATGGCACAAAACTCAGGGCTGAGCAAGCTTCTATGCATCAGCTAGACATTGTACTTGCTCACAATAACAAAGACCCTTAAATAGTGGCATGAAGAAGATAAATGTTCTCTTCTCTCAGCCTGGAGGTGGGCAGTCCAGGCTAAAAATGGCCCTCAGGGACCCATATCCTTCTGTCTGCAGCTTCCCCCAATCCGGAAGCTTTCATCCTCACAGCATCTCAGAGTCCAAGATGGCTGCTTGAGCACAGCCCCCATTATCTTATTCCAAGCAACACAAAGGAGGAGTGAAAAGAAAGGTAAAAGGGTCCCTCCATTTTAATGAGTCTTTCTGGAATCCACACACAACTCTTGAGCTTATACCTCATTGAGTAGAACTTACTCACATGGTAGACTTAGTTGCAGGGGAGGCTGGGAAATGTAATGTTTAGCTGAGCATACTGCTGCCTCAAATAAATTCAGGGTTCTGTTACTTAGGGGAGCTGGAGGGGTGGGAGCTGGGATAGAACATTAGCAGACCCCCCTGCAATCCACAGATGGGCTCACCTAGAACCAGGGTCAGAAGAGAGCTCTGTTGTTGGTGGCTTTTCAGGAAGTCACTGGGTGGAAACTTCTACCTCTAAACCACAGATTCTTGTTGATACAATGGGCAGGGGTGGTATGTCATAGCCCTCAAAAGTTGCAGTGTAAGTTTGGTGGGTTTTGTTCCTTTCAGGTGCCTAGAGTAGTATACTACAGTGATTTAGGGTAAAATTTGTCAAGAGTAATTTTCTCCCTCTAAAAAACTTAGGTTAGAGTCCTCTCTAACTTTGGTCCTGAACTCCACACACAACAAGCCAGGAAGTGATAGGGATGGTCTTTTAAATTAAATAAAATTTTTTTAAAAATGAACTAAAACAAAAAACAAGTGGCTGGAAAGTGAGAAGCATTGTAAACTTACCCGCCACTCCCTTCCATGTTGTTAATAAAAAACTGAATACAGCCTCCAACTCAAAACAGAAGCAGACCAATGCTAAATCAACTTTGTGCTAGCCAGCCTTACCTTAAATAATTACAGTGTAACTCCAGAAACCTAAAAGAAACAAAACACAACCAAGAGGAACACAAATGGTATCAAGGAATCATAGCAACACTCAAGGGAGTTTGAATCATACCTCCTGCAAAGCGGTGACTCTCAGGGCAAGAAGCTATGTTGGGTCCAGCAGGGCATGGGCAGGGAGAGTAGACTGGAGAAGGGAAGAGGACACTCTTGGAACTGCAGGGGTAAGGAGAAATCAGGAACGGGATGCATGTGTGTGAGCTTTACCATTGCCCTGTTTCTGGAAGCTTCCTCAGCCCTAGGTCTCAATAAAGGAAAGATACTTCAGAGTCCTTGCTAACGTCTTTACGGGTCTTTCTGTGACTCTGCCATTTTTCTTCCACACATTCTGCAAACATCCCCTCTCCCCCACATCCTCCAGAGGCAGTTCCTGTGGTGTGGGAATTCTACACCCTCCACATTACTCCTTCTTAAGCCTTTTGTGGGTTGAGGGAAGGATGCAGAAACCACAGCCTTTTTTTGAGAATCCGATAAAAGCTACAGCCCCTCTTTATAGAAATAAGTACACATACTCAACATTGGAAAAAATAATTTCAGGTTGTTCGTGGACCTGTGGATTTAAAATCCTCAGTCTTGAAGGAAATTCAAGATTAAATATAAAAAGACCATGCCTTTGGGAAATGCCCTAAGGAATTCTGGGTTTTCTGTTCTAAACTATTCTGACCGAGGCAACATTCCAACTACCCTGCGTGATTAACTGTAATAAATAACATTTATGTCAATCTACCACAGGCCAGTGTGCAACCTTCAGAAGAATTCTATGAAGTTGGCATTATAATCAGCCCCCACCTTATAGATGAGGAAACTGAGGCACAGAGTGGTAAAGTGACTTGACCAAGATCACACAGCCAGCAAGTGGCAGAACTGGGATTCTGTTATAGGCTGTTAGACTCCAGAGCCGTTATTTTTGTGCTTTTTACCACTGCATGGTGACCTTTACCCTCTCTTTACCTTTACCGAAGCCATGCACATCTGCTTTCTCCCCCAATATAGGTGTCAGGCCCCACCGAGTGGTGTGCTGGAATTAGTTCATACTGGCTCACAAGGACCAATTGTGCACATCTCTTCCCAGCTCCTCATTCTGGGGTGTTGTGTTGATTGCTTGAAATCAGCCATGGTGGGACTATTTACACAAAAGTAACTGGCAAACACTACAAATGAAGACTTCTTCTCCCAGAGAGCTGTTTGTCAAACATTCACCAGCACACCACTGGATCCACCTATGCCCGTCTCTACTTAGATGGCTGCAACTGATAGATCCAGCCGCTCAGGCCCTGAATCAGTGGGAAGCAGGGAGCTTCCTCCCTGCCAGTGAGGAGGATGTGGATAGTGTGTGTGGTAGTTAGGGAGAGGATAGCCTCCCTTTCTGACCCCACTGTATGTAGGCCATCTTTCAATGGCCCTTGGTACCTTCTATCTGCTAGCACCAAAGCCTGGTTATCTGGGAGTGTGGGTCCTTTTCTACACCAAAGTAGAATGACCACTGTGGGATGATGCTGCCAGCCCACCTGATATGGGGAGCCTTGGGTCCCCTAGCAGCCTCTACAGCCTGCTCAGTTCTAAACTCCCAACTTTGCATCCCTGGCTATTGATGCCAGCCAGCCAAATCTCGTTTGACCCTGTCTCTTAGGGGTGAGCCACCAGGGAGCTGGGCCCTCCCTCCAGCCCCACCAGACTTCTGCACTGCTCCCTCTCCTCCACCTTCTTGGAGCACCCAGCAAACTGCCCAGCTGGGGCCCAGCTAGTCCTGACAATGCATATTCTCTAACTTTTGTCCAGAGGGAAACCCATTCTGACAGCAAGAATTCCAGTGGGCCAGGCCTAGAGCGGCAGGTGCCTTGGTGCTCTCTCACCAGGCAGAGTCTCAGGCCATAGGAAAGATACTGAATGATGATGATGGTAGCGACGACGATGATGATTATCCTTTAGTAAGCACTTTCCTTATGCCAAGAGCTTTATATATCTTTATATATCCCCACAAGGTCTCTAGGAGATAAGTACTATATTAATCTTATGTTATAAAAGAAAAACTGAGATTCAGAGAAGTTGGTATCATGCCTGAAGTCACACAGCTAATGAGTGGTGGGCTGAAATTCAAGGCCAAAGCTGTTTCACTCCAGAGCCCATGCCTATAAAACCTATGTACTTCAATTCCCAGGTACCACTCTCAGAGCTGCTCCTTCCCCAGTTCCCAGGGAAGTGTGAGAAGGGCAGCCCCTCATGCCCCTCTCCTTAGTGTTCCCTGGAGAGGTCCCCCAGGCAAGAGGGAAGACAACCTTGCTCACTTATGGCAAGACCACTGCCCAGTCAGAGTTGTGATGCTCCAGACAGGGAAAGTGAGTGTTTTCACTGGCAAGCATATAATGAGCTCTTGCTGTATACAGGGCATTCTCTTTGGCATGAAGGCAGTGGAAAGATGACCAGGAAATGGTGTCTGCCTTTAAACCTAGCAGGTCATGGAAACAACTGTTGCATTAAGGTGGGCTCTGAGAAAGCCTATCATAGTGGAGGCACTGGATTAATTCCCATAAGAGGATGTGGAAATCACTGGGAGGAGGGAACACTTCATCTGGACGTGGGTAATACATAGGCATTCGGTAGGTGAAAAAAATGAGGAATTTGGAAATAAGGAGGAGGGACCAGCAGGATCAAAGGCAGGGGGGGGGGGGGGGCACAGCCCATGAGTGTGGGTGAGAATATGGTGGGAATAGATGGTATCTTGCTCTTTGATAAGCAGTGGGGAGCCATCAAAGGTCTTAGAGCAGAGGTATACCATTATGGCATGGAACAGTGAGCGAATGGAGATGAAGGGACCATTCAGAGGTCAGATGGTTGAGACAGGAGAAGGTGAGAGCTGGAAGCAGAGGAGAGGCTACAAGACAGGCAAAGCAAGAGCAGTTTCAGGGGATAGTGAGGAAGTAGAATGGACTGGACTCAGTGACGGGCAGAGACTAGGAAGGAGAGAGGGAAGGCAGATATAGCCCTGAGGTCCTCAGCCTATGGTCCTTAGCTACACTGCTGGAGCCAAGAAACCCCCAAATACAGTGACTTCAATCCGACAGAAGTTTCTCTCAGGTCTCTGTTGTCTATGCTGCTGAGACTGCTCTGCTGTGTGATGTCATTTAGGGACCCGAGTTCCTTCCATCTTGGTGCTCCTTCATCCCCTAGGGTATTGTGCTCATCAGGGGGATCAAATATGGGCACTACCCCCATCCATGGAAAAGGGGAAAGGGACGAAGTCCAGGGCAAGTGATGTCCTTCTGAAGAAGTAAGGAAGAAGTCACTCATAGTGACCTGGCCACATGCAGCTGCAAGGGAGGCTGTAACATGTAGTTTCTGCTCCAGTGGCCACAGAAGGATAACCAAGAGTCTGCCACATCTGGGCACCTGGGAGGAATTCTGAGGGACAGTAGGCTTTTGCAGAGAAATACACAGTGTGGATTTTGTACAGGTTGAGTTTCCGATGCTTGCAGCAGATCAGGGCTGGAGATGTAAATCTGTGAGTTGGAAGCACAGAAAAGAGAGTCAAAACTTGGGGGGTGAGGGATATGCACCCATGAAGAGAAAATCAAAGAACAAAATTGGACTAAGGGTGGAAACTCTTGAGGAAGGCTTATGAGGAACAGTCATTTTTGTCTCTAATATTTTCCAAAGTTAGTTGCATCAATATGTCCTATCCCATGGACTCCTCTTATATTATGAAGTTGGCACTTTTCCATCAGCAGGTGGGGTTCACGTGCCTTCCCCTTGAATCTGGGCAGGCCTGTGATCAGAGCAGAAGTGATGCCAATGACTTCCAAGGCTATCGGGATGGGCAACACTGCCTCCCCTAGGAATGCTCACCATTGAAATCCCATGCTCTGAGGAAGCCACGCGGTCACACAGACAGGCATGCTCAGGTGTTCCAGTGACAGCCCCAGCTGAAGTCACAGCCAAAGGTAGCACCAACTGCAGCATGGAGTGACAAGACTCCAAAGATTCAGGCCGCCAGCTTTTGGGCTGTCCCAGCCGACCATGAGTGGAGTAGAGGCAAGCCCTCCCCACACAGCCCCACCCAAATTGCCGATACATGAACAAAATAAATATCATTATTGTTTTAAGCCACTAAATTTTGGAGTCCTTTTCTTTATAACAATAGGTAACCGATACAGGCCAGAATCCCTTTTACCTTCCCTGGAGAATGCCCCAAACCATACAGAACACAATCCTTTATCTGGGTTCCTAGCCCCTAGCTCAAAGCTTTGACCAGGCTTTGGACCCCTCAGGATGGTTGCCTCTCTGACCCCTCAGGCTGAGCCCTTGGCTTGGACTCACAGTCCACCCCACAAAGGACATTCCCAGGCAGCATCCCTTCTCTGTCTCCATCCGCAGAGGGCCACGAGGTCAGTGTGGCAGAGAAGTTGAAACAAAGATGGAGTCTCCAAACATAGGGGACAGAAAAGTTTGTGTTCCCTTTTATTTATTTTTTTTCTTTAAATGTTTTTATTTACTTTCGAGAGAGCAGGGGAGGGGCAGAGAGAGAGGGAGACAGAGAATCCAAAGCAGGCTCTATGCTGTCAGCATGGAGCCAGAGGTGGGGCTTGAACCCACGAACTGCGAAATCATGACCTGAGCCAAGGTCAGACACTGAACCAACTGAGCCACCCAGGCTCAGGCTCATTTATATATTCACTTCCCCTGAATTAGAGCAGAAGTGATGCCATATGACTTCCCTGCACAGGGAACAAGTGTCGAACTAGAAGAGACAGAGAGATGAGGATCACAGAGGAAGCCTCTGTGACCAAGAGGCAGACACAGGAGACCAGGGATGGGGAGATGGTCAGACACAACATCCTGGAGGACAAGATACCTCAGAGGGGGCATGGCTCCAGTGCCAGGAGCCCCCAAAAAAGCAGTAGGGAGTGGTCTTTGGTAGGGGGTGGATATGGCTGCACAGCCAGAGCATTATTGGGATACATTGTGAAATGGTTACCATAATCAGGCTAATTAACACATCCTTCACCTCACATGGTTATCGTGTGTGTGTGTGTGTGTGTGTGTGTGTGTGTGTGTGTTGAAAACATCAAAGATATACTCTTATGGCAAACTGCAAGTATACAATACAGTATTATTAACCACAATCACCATGCTGTACATTAGATTCCCAGACCTTACTCATTTTATAACCTTATACCTTTTGACACCAACATCTCCCCCATTGCCCCACAACCCCAGCCCCAGGCAACCACCATAACCATCATTCTACTCTTTGCTTCTATGAGTGTGACTATTTTAAGTGCATTATATATGTCATATAATGTAATATTTGTTCCTCTCTCTGACTTATTTCACTTAGCATAATGACCTCCAGGTTTGTCCATATTGTTGCAAATGGTGAGATGACAGGATTTCCTTCTTTTTTATGGCTGAATGTTATTCCTCTGTGTGTGTGTGTGTGTGTGTGTGTGTGTGTGTGTTTCTTTATCCCTTCATCCATCCATGGACACATGGATCCATGTAAATTGATTCCACATCTTGGCTACTGTGAGTAATGCTGCAATGAAGCTGGGTGTATAGACATCTTTTAGAGATACTGATTTCATTTCCTTCAACCCAGACGTAAGATTGCTGGATCATATGGTGGTTCTATTTGTAATTTTTTGAGGAAACTCCACATTGTCTTCCCTAATGACTACCAATTTCCACTGCCAGCAAGAGTGCACAAGGGTTCTTTTTTTCTCCACAGCCTCACCAATACTTGTTCTCTTCTCTTTTTGATACTAGCCATTCTAACAGGTGGGAGGTGATATTTCACTGTGGTTTTGATTTGCATTTCCCTCATGATGAGTGATGTGAAGCACTTTTCATGTACCTGTTGGCCATCTGTAAAGTCTTCTCTGGAAAAATGTCTATTCAGGTCCCCTTCCCATTTTTAAATGGGTTATTTGTTTTTCTGCTACTTAGTGGTATGATTTCCTTACATATTTTGCATACTAACCTCTTATCAGACATATGGTTTGCAAATATTTTCTCCCATTCTGTAAGTTGCCTTTTCATTTTACTGATTGTTTCCTTTGCTGTACAGAAATTTCTAGTTTATATAATCTTACTTGTCTATTTTTGCGTTTCTTCCCTTTTATTGCTTTTGGTGTCAAATCCCCAAAATCATTGCCAATACTAATGTCAAGGAGATTTTTCCTTACCTTTTCTCCTAGGAGTTTTACGGTGTCAGACTTTATGCTTAAGTCTTTAATTTTTGTGTATAGTGTAAGATAAGGGTATGTCTATTTCTTGGGGGTTTATCCCTATGCCTGACATTAAATTCTATACATCCTGAGACTGTGGCCAAAGTATCGTCATCTGTGCACCCTGAGAGTTCAGTACTAGGACCAATGCCTGCAAGGCAAGGGTCTGGCCATTGATCAAATAGCCAGCATGCTGATTGACTGATACATCAATTAACACCTGACAGGTTGCTTTATTAGCGATTGAAGGACAGAATAGCAGCTTGGCTGGCTAAGGACAGGGTTTGCCTCCTACATATCTTTATCCCAACCAACACTTAGCACAAGGCCTGGCTCAGAGTAGAGGCTCAATAAATGGCTGCTATATTAGTCATATGGCTCACAAGCATCAAGTGATGCTGGGAAATGTAGTCTTCATTTTATTAAAATCAGTTACAAATCAGGGTTCCAGTACAGGAAAAACAGGAATGGAGACTGGAGGGCCACTAGTGACCTCTGCTATGAGGACACATTAATGAGTCTGGTTAAGGGATGCAGATACTTGAGGGCCACGTATCCAGTTCAGAAGTGAAATTGCATGGAGCTTTGGAATTCTGGAGTTACCTCTTGTACAGAACTTTTAGAGGGCCACAATTTCTCCCCTATATTCTTTACTGTCCTAGGGAGGTGCTGAGCTGAGAAGCAGAGAGAGGTTACCTTTGCTCTTTAAAATTACTGCTTTCTTGGGGCGCCTGGGTGGCGCAGTCGGTTAAGCGTCCGACTTCAGCCAGGTCACGATCTCGCGGTCCGTGAGTTCGAGCCCCGCGTCAGGCTCTGGGCTGATGGCTCGGAGCCTGGAGCCTGTTTCCGATTCTGTGTCTCCCTCTCTCTCTCTGCCCCTCCCCCGTTCATGCTCTGTCTCTCTCTGTCCCAAAAATAAATAAACGTTGAAAAAAAAAATTTTTTAAATTACTGCTTTCAGGGGCGCCTGGGTGGCGCAGTCGGTTAAGCGTCCGACTTCAGCCAGGTCACGATCTCGTGGTCCGTGAGTTCGAGCCCCGCGTCAGGCTCTGGGCTGATGGCTCAGAGCCTGGAGCCTGTTTCCGATTCTGTGTCTCCCTCTCTCTCTGACCCTCCCCCGTTCATGCTCTGTCTCTCTCTGTCCCAAAAATAAATAAACGTTGAAAAAATAAATAAATAAAATAAAATTACTGCTTTCTGTTTTCAAACCCTGCTCTTGAGGAAGTGTATACCGTCTTATATGTTCTTTGATTGTGCTCATCACAAAATCTTACTAAAGTACCCATTTGAGACAAGGCCTCAGTGCTCCTGATTACTATTCATCCTAAATTATTTGCAGGAAACACCTATTCACGTCACAGGCTTCAATTCAGGACTAAGAGACCAAAGGCCTAAAAATTGTCCCTTCTTGCCTCTTTGCTGAAATGGCCTCACCCTGAGCCAAATGGCAAGCTCGGTGTATAGGTACTGTGCCAAGCTCTGGGCTCCCTTGCCTGGGTTCAAATTCTAGCCCTGTCATCAGCTGGCTGTGTGACCTTGGGCACATCACTAAACCTCCCCAAGCCTTGGTTTCCTCATCTATAACATAGGATAAGAATAATAATGCCAACCTCAACCACAGAATTGTGTTGGTGGTGAGAACAGGACCCGGCAGTAGTTAAGAACTCAGAATCTCTTGGGTGTTATTAGAAATGTAGACAATCATTTCAGGCCCATGCGTGCTGCCTCCCCAGCTTTTTAGCAGGAAACGACCCTGTCTTTTCCATCTCATGTGCCTCCTCTCTCTTTCCTAGGCACAGAGGATTTTACGGCCAGTTCAGTCTGGCATGGAGTTGGTATGGAGAGAACAGGTCTGTGGTTTACACACTTTTCTGACCCAGGGGCTGGCATTCTCCTTTCTTCCTTCCGCTTTGGCTGCAACCCACCCAGAGGTGCCGAGGTGGCCAGTGCTGTGTTGTGGGTGTGTGGTGCCCACCTCCTCCCAACTCCACTTCGAAGAAGCATGGTGGGGTTGAGGACCTCCTACACACCTTGCATTCAGATCGCCCCTCTCCCAGAGCAAAGGATAAAGGGGTGAAAATGAAATTTGCTTCCAAGCTTCCCTCTGGTTACTGGAGTGTCACTTTTCTGCGTATTTATGGTAATCATCCCTGCAACAAAAACAGTGACTTCACTGTCTAAATAATAAGGCAATTTGTTACAGCTAATTACTCAAGGACTTCCTTAATCTCAATTAAAAGATCCGAGAGGATTCCTGCCCCCTCTCATTCCAG